ATTAGAGCTGTCACGCTTCTTCTTGGTCTCCGAAAATGGGAGACCCAGATTTACACGCCTTTTGGGAGGTTCGTAGGCCTGGTCGGTAATTTCAGAGTAAAGACAGCATTTGTCAAGTTCTATTTGCTGAATAGGGCCCATGATATCAAGTTCACATTTTCTTTGGTTTTTTAGCATGAAATACACTGGGAAACTATAAAAGTTTTTGTTACGAAAAGCAAGGATACGATAATTGAGACGCTGAAAGGTTAGTTATCACTGTGAAGGTTAACAAGCTTATAGATAAGCGTTTGATTAGGTGCTAGTGAACAGTGATCTTCACACAAAATTGAAGGGTGCATTTATGTGGAGTTCCCTGGGCTGAGGAATGTGGCATCTTCGAAAATTTACTTGCTTATCCATTGATTGAGCATGTAGTTACTGAGCTCCTAGACTGTGCTGAGTGCTGGAATATGAGGCTGAGAAGGCAGTTGACAGTTGTCCTTGGGGGGAAACAACCGGTAATTCTTTAATTACTGCGGTGATAAGTAGAAATACAGAGTAAGTTTTTTGATCTAGGGTTTGCAAATCCTGTTGCAGTCTGATTTTCTTAGTTTAGAAATCTCTAACTTACCTGGTTTTTATGTCTTCAGCAACAAAAGCAAGAGAAGCTTAAGCGTGGAGTAATCTATGTGGGCCACCTACCTAGCACACTTGATGAAACTCAGATCCAAGCATATTTCTCCCAGTTTGGCACCATTACAAGATTAAGACTGTCCAGAAGTAAGAGGGTAAGATTTCTGTAGTCAATTTGATTTTTTTGTATCTCAAATGTGTATCATCCTTGAGAGTTTATAAAGCATGTTCAGTATACGTTATTGCTTATTGGGCTTCATTCCAAAAAGAGGTTGTGGGTGAGGTTTAGAATCTGAAACATCCACAAGAGCAAAGTCTGTGTTGTGTGTTTTTTTTTTTACTTTGCCCCAAATCCTCACATTAAGTTGACAATCCTGGTAAATGAACATCAGTTTGAAGACCAGGTTCGTACGTCTTTTTATGTTAGCCTTTGTTATAGGCATCCTTGTAATAGCAAAGGTTTATATAGTGAATAGTTAAGGATAAGGACTCTGGAGCCAGACTACCTAGGTTTGAGGCCTGTCTCTATACCTTGCTAGTTGGACAAGTTGGGTAATCTTTTCGTGCTTCAGTTTTGTGATCATAAAATATGAATTAAATAGCACCAACTTCTTGGGAGTGTTTAGTCAAAGATTAAATGAGGTAATGACTGTTCTTAGAACATTGCCTGGGACACAGTGAACACTTTATAAATACTATTATTATACCTACTCGCCAGTGGAATACAGGTTTGTGTCGTTTATTTCAGTAATAGAGGAGTGGCCACTGTATTTTCTTCCCCTGCACATAAGTTTTTATTGGTTACGCTATATTGTTGGAATTTTTTTTTT